ATCAAAAGTTGACAAAACGAGCTAGATGCAGCCCCCCCCCCCAACAGTAATGTCAAAGGAGCGAACCATGAAATGGCTGGTGTGAAGAGCCCCAAGCTGATGTGCCCCTCCATATTATGTGAGAGCAACACAGGCCAGGAGTGAAAGCTGAAGCAAGAGCAACAGCCTGGGAATCTGCCTCCTCCAGAAGCCTACCTTGACCAACAACAGGCGAGGACCTACCCTGAAACTTCCTACCCCAAGCAGCAGGGCAGAACTCTGAAGAATCCATCTCAAACAAAGAAAGTTAAAACAAACCCACGTTTATCAAATACCCCTCTTCACAGAATCCACAACCAATCAGGGTGAAAGGGCAGTTAGGTGTTGGGTGTCTCGCAACAGGGTGAAACTGAAGGCAGCAGATCCTCAGCGGGAAACGACAACCCAACTTCCTCCACTATTGAAGTGCTTCCTGACTCCCCAAACACACCCCCACTCCACCTGACTCCAGACACCCACACATCACCAGGTCACAAACTCCTACTAGACACATCACACTTATCAGTTCTTTCAACTCTTCACTTCTTTTGGAATACAAAAATAATAATAATAATCATATCAGCTTGGAGAAAAAACATGGTATACAGTATAATAAAATTCCTGTCCGAGCTGGTTCCCGAGTTAATCCATTGATTCAACGGCCTATATCGATCAACACACACAACCTGCCTGCCAGGCCCTAATGATCTCTTCACCCACCAAGACAAGCAACAATCCAAATACCATACTTTTATCACTATGTTTAGTGAAGGAAGGAATCTAACTGAAGCCTAACTGAAGATAAACACAGAGACCAACTTGCTACTATTCTAAACCATGTGCACCATATGCACAAATAATTGTAACCTTTACTCCTTTAAACTTTTATGTTACACACAAGCACCTTGAACTACAGTTAAAAGTTCATTGCCACCATACAGTAATGAACTGCTATTTATTCATCAACATTCTCTGTCCTTACTATCACTATCAATTTCTTTACCTTTATCTTATAATATGTATCTGCACATCATTCTTTCCTGCTACTGTATTTCACTTTTTACCTCTCTTGCATAAATCAAACTCATTATGATATTAAAGATAACAACATGTTTGCTTTTCAGACTCCATACTAATTTAGCTATGTAGTTTTACTAATACTTCTCAAAGTAATTAACTAGGGTAATTGACAATGTTTTTTATTCTCTAGTTAATCACTTTCATTAAATTGACACAATTTGCTCATACTGTATATTGCTCTTATCACAATATTACCCAACTAATCAATAGATTTTCAAATCCATTAATTTTTCTTTTTGAGCCAAAACTTTAGAGGCATTATTTAGATTAGTAATAATGTGGTGTGAGATTTTTGTCAATTATGCTATTGAAAATATTGAGATACGTTAATGCATTTTGCATTGTACTGCAGATATTCCGATAAACAACTGCTGTCGAGATCATAATTGGCATTTTATACATGCTGTACCTCTCCTTAGTAAAGACACCCCCCCACCTAGGATTGACCAAATTTGTTGGGTGAGTGGAATCTCAAGTGGGGGGGACTACTACTAGTAGTCCCCCCCACCCCCCACAGTAGTACTAGTAGTAGACTACTACTAGTAGTCCCCCCCATCATTCTAGTAGTAGAATAGTCATTCTGCTACTAGTAGTAGTCCCCCCCCCCACTTGAAGGGGGTAATAAGTGAGGTAATGCTACCACTAAGTAAATACTATTTTACCAGGCAACCCAGTTTCCAAGCATTTCCGAATGCTGTAATTAGTGTCCCATGAACACTTATGTTACAAGTTAAAATTAAAGTCTACAATAGACCCATGCATACTGCATAGTTGAAGTTAATATGGAATGAGCACATCTAATAACACCAAAAAATTGAATAGCACGAGTATTGTCCATGGGGTATGTGTTGACATGGATTTGTCTTGTATTTCATACACGACCATCATCCTTACCCCATTACCCACTTTCATGGAGTCAGGAGGCATCAGCCCCGAAGAAAAATTAAGAGCAATATTGGAAAGGATTGTTAAAGAGAGGTAAAAGTAAGTTTGAGTGAGTAAATGAACGCTTCATTCTGAGAAAGCCACTCGGTTCCTAGACTATCTCCTGCTCTCATACGGATATGGCATCAGATCAACCAGCAAGCATAACTTTCACTACCCACTGTAGAGGAGGCTTTCCAAGCTGTTGGGCCATATTTGGAAGAAGGGGAAACACTCAAGATTTCTCTATTTAGCCCTGAATGACCAACAGAAAATTCATTGATTTACACTGAAAAATCCAACCCAACAGACCTCATAGAGAGAGAAGGAACTGAACTTCCAGCTAGCAACTGCACTCCATAAAGTGTGTGTGGGCAACAAGACTGAAGTCACAGCACAAAGAGGCAGTAGCTCTACCGGATCATAATTCTGAGACAGGTACTCATAAGTTAGAGGCTCCGCGATGGTAATACAGTATCTCGCTAACTTTCAGTTGACATGAGCTCAGTAAATGGCAGGAAGCTCCTGCTGCAGATTGTATAACATTGTTTTGTTTTAAAATGTTTCACAGGAGGCACTCTTTTTCTATATTTTATTGCAGTAGAAACTTCATCTCGTTAATAACCTCAAAACCTTTCTCTTAAATTTAAATCATTATTCTCCCTCCAGTTACATTTCACTCTTCTGCTGCTGCTTCCATAGCTGTTGATCTCAGGAACCTGCCAGTTGTGTAACACCTCTTCATTTCAGGTCACAGAATACTTTCAAAGCAATAATGAGTCGCAGGTACTTTTTTATTTTCAAGTTTCAATTTTACAGCCATTTTCTGGGAAATAATCAACATTACATTCTGTTTTCTTCCCAATCTTGCCCTGTTGTGTACAGTTCATTAAAAATCAAACATGGATAACAAACAGCTCTTCACGTGTAAGCTATGTAGTCATTTTACCATACACACACACTTAAATTAATAGGCTATCCATTCAGAGTGAAAGGCAAACTGCACTGGAATACACAGCACACAACTTTGTGTCACCGCTCCCACAAGCATCTTTCTTTGCTACAATACAAGCACAAAATAATAGAGAAGAAATTTACTTGCATTTTTTTGTGAAGTGTTGGCCGCAGGACTGGATACAGAAGAAACTAGTGACCGAGAGGTCACTCATGTTGAAGTCCTGACACGCACTACAGCTCAAACCTAGCTATATAAAGTACACTCAATCACTCTTACATAAAGCTCAAAATAAAACTCGGTACTCACTTTCATATCCACGCGTAAAGTCGTGGTGATTATACGAGTTTCTATTTTGACTAGGAGAATTGGATTCTTCAGGGCCATAAAGATCATACTGTTTCTTCTTTTCTGGGTCACTGAGTACAGCGAAGGCATTCCCTACAGCTGTAGACAACACATATTAGTAGTCTCCAACAAAGCTTTACTGCAGCTAAAATAACATTCAAATACTAATAAACATAACCAAGCTACCAATGTGTCTACAACTTTACAGACTCAATTTTACCATCACATGTCAAACTGGTTATTTTCATTCTAGAGACCACATTACAGCACAACACCATGGCCACTTTGCATTATAAAGTGTCCTTTGTTGACCAGTCTATTTCCCTGTGAATGAAATCCCCAAGTACTAGAATCTTCTCTCTGGTTCTCCTTGCTACTGTGGCTACCTTTTTATTATCTTCAGGCATACCTGGAGCTTACCTGGAGAGGGTTTCGGGAGTTCTTCTACTCTTGGGCCAGGCTCGACTGGCCTCAGTCGAAGTCAGTCACAGTCTTTATGGTCCCTCACTGCTATCATACCTATTATGTAGTTCCCTGGATGGTTATCTCTGGAATCTCTATTTCCTCAAAGCTCAAAATTATTGGCTGCTACTCCTAGCCCCCATATATATCTTTAACTTTTTACTACCTGGTATTTGCTATAATGTTTGTCAGTTTCGTCTTTATATCTGATATAGATAAATAATTTAAATCAAATTCTTATTGACAGCATGTAAAATTTATGATTTCCATCACGCTTGTGACTGTTCACTTTGAACACATGTTGTCCATGTCAGCTCATAAGGATTCATGTCAGTTCATTAAGATTAACATTCATGTCAACTCGTAGGGGTTATTATTCATGTCGACTAATAAGGAGGGTTAATTATCCATGTCAGCTCATAAAGGTTAAGATTCATGTCAGCTCACAAGGGTTAATATTCATGTCAACTCATAAGGATTAATATTTATGTCAGCTCATAAGGGTTAATACTGATCTCAGTTCATAAGGGTTAATATTCATGTCAGCTCATATGGGTTAATACTTATCTCAGTTCATAAGGGTTAATGTTCATGTCGGTTCAGAGGGGTTAATGTTCCTGTCAGCTCATACTGTATGTATATTACTAAAAGGCTCTAGCTTGAAAGCAAAGTATGAGCAATATATCAATTTACCTTTAAACGCTTCACTGGCTCCTGGTGCCTTGTTTTTATCCGGGTGGAATTGAAGCGCCAATTTACGATAAGCTTTCTTTAGGTCACTGTCAGTAGCCTCCTTAGTAATACCTAAAATCTCATAGTAATCCTTACACCTCATGATTCTGAAATAGAGGAAGATACAACTTACCAAGAATTTAATTCTTATATAACTTCTATATATTAATGTAATTACTATATTTAGATAACTACTGCAATATAAGAGAGTCAACTGCAATATTTATCTTCATACTGAAACTGATTGTAAATCACATAATTCTAATGTGGGACAAATGCGCCTCCCTCAGAATTCAAGGGAAATGAATGTTTCACTTGTGATTAATGGTAAGGAGAGATGATATAACTACTAAAGTTCTCCAGTAAGGGCACCTGGTGCAAACTGTCTTACCTCTTAACTGAATCCACCTGCTCCTTGGTGAATTCTACAGTGCCGCTAGAAGACTGAGTTGTGTTTGCTGAGCTACTCGTTCTTTCTTCACCTGTTGCAGCCGTTCGTCGTTGCCGCACATTCTCACCACTACCTGTCCCTCCACCTTTACCCCCACCACCACCATCCCCCTCGCCTCCAGCCGTTCCATTGCTATGTGGGGTATGACCAGTTGTGCCACTTAATCTATTTAGTAATTCCAAAAATTCTGAAAAATAAAACAATGTGAAAGATGGTAACCTTTAACTAGCAACAGTATTTGCATAATTAACCTATGATGATGGTGACTGCAGTGATGAGTATAGTGTTAGTGGCGGGTGCAGTAGAAATTGTGGTGATTGTGGTGGTGGCTGTTGGTGTATAGTGAATGCTATTGTGGTATCTGCAGTAATTGTATTATGTATATAGTAATGGCAGTGGATGAAGTGGTAGTTGTAGTAGACGCTGTTGTGGTGGCTGTAGAGGTAGTGGTGATGACTGCAGTAATTGTACTGTGGCTACAGTATTCATCATAAAGGGTAAATGAAATAATAAATCCATGAATTATCCAAGATTTAATTATTTTAACTAAATTACTATACTATATAATCTATTTATTGTATTTGCATTGCCATTTATACCTTCCATTCCCCCCCCCCTCCAAAAAAAATATATATACATTACATTAAGGCTTTTACATCGAGAATAAATGAGGGACTGGAATTCATGGCAGATGTGACTTCATATGACCCCATGACTTGTCTTGTGTACACAGTAATCATGGTATATAGTCTCAATATACATTACTGAAAAAATAAATAAGCTACAAAGTAATACATGTCACTATAAATCTGTTAATAATACAGCTACAGGGGCGGCTGTTTTATTAAGATACAAAAAACTTATTTTCTGTTTTGAGGGAAAGAATGAAAGTAGTGAGAAATCAGCTGCTAAACCTAACCTAACCAATTTAAATTTATTTTGTAATATAACTTAAACTCAATATAACTCAATATCTTACTTCATCTTATTATATGCTAAAAAAATTTCAAAGGTTTAGTTTGTATATTACACAGTAGCACACTTGGATTTTTAATATTTTATACTTCTACCACTGTACTAAAATACACATCTAAATTGCTTTAGTATAAATGTGTCTACTTGATGCAAGCTGCTAGGATGTCATTAGTAATTTTATATATATATATAACACATTTAAGGCTTTAAATAAAATACAGATTGCTGTCTGGGGTTTGTTTTTGTTCAAATTGCTGCTTTGTGTTGACTAATAATGTCCGACGTAGTTTCAAGTAAAAAATTCCAACGCACAGATACAGGAGGCCAGATACAGATTAAAATAGCAAATACTGTATTGTGTTACCAGGCAGTGAGGTACAGCATATTGAATTTCAAAAATGTCTAGTTTTAGATACTTTTTTGTATATGTTGTATGCAGTTTGATCATAGCCAAGCTGCTTAGTGTGCCAGCTCCTGTACCCATACCTTAAATTCAAGATTTAACTTTTATACCCAATCATCCTAACCAATCAAACATTTAATAAATTGCTTCTCATTTTCAGTTTGATGATTCTGCCGAGAAACAAATATATCCAGATGGAGCTGAGATGCACCATATCCAACGATTCTGATGATGTAATGTCAGCAGTCATTGGGCAATAAATCACAAATATATGCCCGACTTACCGTAATTTTGAAACATGATTTTACAAAGCATAATTTCCAGGAATTGGTTTTATTTAATACAAAAAAAAACCTTTCCAATCAAAGTGATCATTGAGCCTTTGATATATGATGTGGTCATGATTACCGGTGTTCCAAGGGTATCCCGGGGAGAAGAGGAAAGGTTGTGGGGTGTGGAGGAAGCCATAATTAAGGCGAGTGTGGTTGTCTTAGACTCACCTTGGGACCTCTGGGAAGGGTACAGCCGCTCTGCCTTCTGCGTGAACCTGATCGCTTTCTCTCTATTGCCCTCCTGGAAGTATTTCTGGGCTAAATTGAAGCATTTTTCAGCTTCATCTTTATTTCCGTCATGTACCATGGTGTATTTTCAGTTGTAAACACGCAGAATAAGAAGCCGGCTGTGATTAGTTAGTGTGGACCAACCATTGAGCGTCAGGGCGGGCCTAGCCAATCAGCGCTAACATAACAAACAGCTGCGGGTCTTGTTTACAGAGCTGCCACCTGCTGGCGTCTCTCTCAACCACACTACAAATCAGCTGATGCAACGATGCCAGCTGTGTACTATGTCGGGTCAGGGAGCAACCATAACTTAGTTATCACCTAATATTTTGTTCATTTTATAATATTTCCTTTACTGTCTACATTAGATACATCGATCTGAATAATGAATTGAAGGCAATGGAGTGATCGTGACAGGAGCAGTGAATCAGACTACACCTCCTGTCATTTACGTGTACTGTACTGTCTACATATTTAAGGGAATTATGTTTTGCAATTTTCACACAAGACTTAACACATAATGTCACGCAAGTACTCAACAAGTCATTAAACATAGCTTTACCCATATACACAAACACACATAATTAAACATACTTGAACCGGGGAAAGTTCCCTCCATTTAAAGATTGGAATAAATTAATAATAAATAATTATTTATTTGTAAAAAAAAAATTCATTGTGTCGGGGGACAGATACCCAGAGTGAATTCATAAACGTTAGTCTTTCATCTTCAAAAAAGACAGAACAAGCTCAGCTGAAAACTACTGACTAATAATCCTAACCCTCGTAACCTCAAGGAGAGAATCTTAAAGGCATCATTCACCATAACACAGTGGTGTATCCTACTGTATACAAGCTTGGAGATCTCATCTTCAAAAGGACATGTCGGCTTTGGAGAAAGTTTAACACAGAGCTATCAACGCGATATCCAAGAACTAAACCAACACTCATAACAGGAAGGGTGAAGGCCGCAGGACTAGCAACACTGCAAATAAGATTTTATATTTAGATTTAGATTTTTTATTCAGGTAAAGGTACATACATAGAAGATGAGTTACAAATAATGTTGGATTTAAAGATAGAGCTAGTACATACAATACCTAAAGCCACTGTTGGATTTAAAGATAGAGCTTTTATCGCCTAAAGATAGAGGCGATAGAGCCAAAGGAAACAGAGAGTTAGTATAAATGGAATCAAGTCAGAGTGGGAGAATGTTGTAAGTGGAGTGCCTCAAGGCTCTGTCCTGGGACCTCTGTTGTTTATAATATATATAAATGATTTAGATTCAGGTTTGAGTAGCAACATTTGCAAATTCGCCGATGATACGAAAATCGGTAGGGAAATTAATTCGGAGGAGGACTCACTATCACTTCAAGTTGATCTAGATAGGGTTTTGAAATGGTCAAAGGATTGGCAGATGCAGTTTAATGCTGATAAATGTAAAGTTCTGAGGTTAGGTAATGATGATAGAGTTACAAGATACGAGCTAGATGGTGTTGTGATTGCGAAGTCGGATTGCGAAAGGGATCTGGGAGTTATGATTAGTAAGAATTTAAAACAAAAGGATCAATGCATAAATGTTCGTAATAAGGCAAATCGGACACTTGGATTTATTAATCGCAGCGTTAGTAACAAGACACCTGGTGTGGTTCTCAAGCTATATCTTGCTCTAGTTAGGCCCCATTTAGATTATGCAGTTCAGTTTTGGTCGCCATATTATAGAATGGATAAAAATTCACTTGAACGTGTCCAGCGTAGGATGACTAAGTTAATTCCCCAAATTAGAAATCTTTCATATGAAGAAAGATTAACAAAGCTTAAGTTGCATTCACTGGAAAGGCGAAGAGTTAGGGGTGACATGATAGAGGTTTACAAGTGGATGAATGGACATAACCGGGGGGATATTGGTAGGGTATTAAAAGTATCAACACAGGACAGAACACGAAACAATGGGTATAAATTGGATAAGTTTAGATTTAGGAAAGACTTGGGTAAATACTGGTTCAGTAACAGGGTTGTTGATTTGTGGAACCAATTGCCGCGTAACATTGTGGAGGTGGGGTCCCTCGATTGACGAGGACGAGTGCTGTGGAGAGACTGTGGATCGCGCAAAAGGGAAAGCAACGAAGAGAAAGGAAGCGCAGGCCCCTCAGAAAGTAAAGGAAGTACCTAAGCAAACATTAGTTGTGGGAGATTCCCAGATAAGGTATTTGGATAGAACGTTTTGTGCTAGAGATAGGGGGAACAGGTTAAGGGTTTGCTATCCCGGAGCTGGCATTGGTGATATTATAAACAACATGAATGATATTATGGCTGGTAATGGGAACAATCCCATTATTTGCATTAGCGTGGGAGGAAATGATGTTGGTCGAGTCAGGAGTGAGGAACTGATTCAGAGGTATAAAACAGCCATAGAGTTAGTTAGGAGCAAGGGAGGAATCCCGATCATATGTGGCATTCTTCCAAGAAAGGGAGTGGGAAATGAATGGATATCGAGGGCACTTGGTGTCAATTGCCGGCTGGAAAGATATTGCAAATCAAATGCAATATCTTTCATAGACAACTGGGAACACTTCTATGGAAGAAATGAAATGTATGCTCGTGATGGGGTGCATCTATCGAGAGCTGGGGTTGTTGCTGTTGCGAACTCGCTAGAAGAAGTGGTTAGAGGTGTTTGTTTGGGTTTAAACTGTTAGTAGATAGAGGTATGGGAATTGATTTGGAGGAAGGAGGTAATAAAAGTATGTGTTTGTGGGAGAAAGGAATTGGCAAAACGATCAGGGAAAGGGAAGGTCCGCAAAATAACAATTCACTTAGGGTATATTACACTAACAGTAGAAGTCTAAGAAATAAAATTAACGAATTAAATGCTCTTGTCTGCACAGAAAAAATAGATATTATTGCACTTACCGAAACGTGGATGAATGTAGAAAATAGAGAACTATTAGCTGAATATCAAATATATAGATTTAAACTATTTCACACAGATAGATATATTAGACGAGGAGGTGGAGTAGCCATATATGTTAGGGACAATTTGAAATGTAGTCTCAAAGAGGGAATCAAAACTGAGCCACACACAGAAACTATTTGGATTGAATTAAACGAAAAAGCTAATAATATTATAATAGGAGTAATATATAGGCCACCAAATTTAGACAGAATGGAAGCAAAGCATCTATGGGATGAAATATCTAGAGCATCTAGATCTAACAGTATTTATGTCATGGGTGACTTTAATTTTAGCGGAATAAACTGGTTGAACAAAACAGGGAATAGTGAAGCAGAAGATTTTCTAGAATTAATTGACGATTGCTTTCTTACGCAACACATTAAGGAACCAACACGGGAAAATAATATTTTAGATTTAGTGTTAACTAACAGGGAAACGCAAATTAATGACATCGAAATAGGGAGTGAGCTAGGGAGCAGTGATCACAAAGAAATCAGATTTAGCATAGAATGGAATAGACCAGTAGGAGAAAATTCTGTTAAAGTGCCAGATTTTCGAAAAGCTGATTTTAATAGCCTAAGAAATTTTTTGGGTCAAATTGATTGGAAAGGCTTGGGTATGGGGTGTGGGCCGGTCTTGGAGCGAGACATGAACCCAGCGATAGGTGACTTAAATGGGGATTTCGATGTGGATTCAATATATAACTTATTTAAGAATATTCTAAACAAAGCACAGGAACGTAGTATACCATACAAATTGAATAGATCGTATACTAATGACCCAAAGTGGATAACAAAGAATTTGAAGAACCTTATAGGTAAAAAGAGAGCTTGGTACAAAAGGATTAAAAATGGGGAGGTCACTTTAGAACAGGAATTCGTACAACTGGTTAGAAATGTTAAAAAAGAGATAAGGAAAGCAAAAAGAAACTATGAAGTTCGCATAGCAGGGCAAGCAAAGACAAATCCTAAAGGGTTTTTTCAGTTATATCGTACTAAGACTAGGGAAAGGATAGGTCCATTAAAAACTGAGACAGGTCAAATAACAGATAGTGATGAAGAGATGAGTAGTATTTTTAATAAATATTTTGTATCTGTATTTACTAAAGAGGAACTTAACAATATGCCTTCAGCCGAACAAGTCTATGTGGGTGGGGACGAGGACAGGTTGACGAGTTTAGCAGTTACCAGGGAGGATGTTCTTAAACAAATAGTAAAACTCAAACCAAACAAATCCCCAGGGCCGGATGAAGTGTTTGCTAGGGTGCTTAAAGAATGCAAAGAGGAGCTTTGTGACCCACTGTCAACCATATTTAATAAATCAATAGAGTCAGGCAGAGTGCCAGAGTTTTGGAAAGTTGCTAATGTGATACCAGTTTTTAAGAAAGGAGATAGATCACTTGCGTCTAACTATCGACCAATTAGCCTAACGTCTATTGTGGGAAAGTTACTCGAATCTATAATAGCAAATAAAATTCGTCTTCATCTTGAAAAACATAAATTAATAATTGAGTCGCAACATGGTTTTATAAATGGCCGTTCATGTTTAACAAATTTGTTATCTTTTTATTCTAGCATTGTTGAGGCAGTTGATAGTGGTAAGGATTGCGATGTTGTATACCTTGACTTTAGCAAAGCTTTTGATACAGTGCCACATGAAAGACTGATTAAAAAAATAGAGTCTCATGGTATTGGGGGTGCTATATTAAGCTGGATTAGGGCATGGCTATACCAAAGGAAACAGAGAGTTAGTATAAATGGAATCAAGTCAGAGTGGGAAAATGTTGTAAGTGGAGTGCCTCAAGGCTCTGTCCTGGGACCTCTGTTGTTTATAATATATATAAATGATTTAGATTCAGGTTTGAGTAGCAACATTTGCAAATTTGCCGATGATACGAAAATCGGTAGGGAAATTAATTCGGAGGAGGACTCACTATCACTTCAAGTTGATCTAGATAGGGTTTTGAAATGGTCAAAGGATTGGCAGATGCAGTTTAATGCTGATAAATGTAAAGTTCTGAGGTTAGGTAATGATGATAGAGTTACAAGATACGAGCTAGATGGTGTTGTGATTGCGAAGTCGGATTGCGAAAGGGATCTGGGAGTTATGATTAGTAAGAATTTAAAACAAAAGGATCAATGCATAAATGTTCGTAATAAGGCAAATCGGACACTTGGATTTATTAATCGCAGCGTTAGTAACAAGACACCTGGTGTGGTTCTCAAGCTATATCTTGCTCTAGTTAGGCCCCATTTAGATTA